ATTTAATAGAAGAAATCCCTTCAATTTTGTTAAGATTTAGAGAAAAATGCATTGGCGTAACCTCTGATATCCGGCGTGCATTTTTACAGATTGAATTACGGAAAGAAGATAGGGACTTTTTAAGATTTTTATGGTGGGAGAAAGATAATGTACTGAAGGTTTTCCGCCATACGAGGGTAGTTTTTGGAGTAAAGTCTAGCCCTTTTCTATTAGGAGCGGTTATTTCAGTTCATTTGGCACAAGTACCAAAGGAACAAAGTTCTATTGCTCAGAAATTAAATAAATCCTTTTATATTGATAATTGTGTGACTTCTGTTGATAACGAAAAGGAGCTTGTGAATTTTGTGAAATATTCTACTGAAATATTAGCTGAAGCAAAAATGGACTTACGTATGTGGACCTATGGCCCAGTAGAAACAAGATGTGGAACTAACCCAAAGTACTTTGTGCACTGAGTCCACAATGGAGAATTCTGTACCAGTTTTAGGAATTATGTGGGACAGAATAGAAGATAACCTTTATATTGAAATTAAGACTGTATTGGTTTCGGATAATTTGTCTAAAAGAGAGGTTTTGTCAGTAACGCAGACAATGTTTGATCCTTTGGGTTTCTTGACACCTGTTTTATTGCCTGCAAAGTTACTGCTACAGGAAATTTGGGCGATAAAAGCAGACTGGGATACTCCATTACCAGATAGTATCAAAAGTAAATTTTCGAGGTGGTATAATAAATTACAAATTTTGAATAAGTTGAGAATACCGCGACGTATAGGTTTTGGAGATAGAAGTTCCTGGACACTTCATGTATTTTGTGATGCTAGCCAGCATGCTTATGCCACGGTAATATTTTTGAGATGCGAAACTAAAAAGAAGAAACATTAGTCAGTTTTGTAATGGCTAAGTCAAGAGTCGCACCCTTAAAAGAACTTACTATTCCCCGTCTAGAACTTATGGCATGTCTTTTGGGCGTTGCGTCTTTCCAAATATGTGACAGAAGCTCTTACATTAGATGACATCCCGAAATATTTTTGGACCGATTCCACCACGGCCATATCTTGGATTCAAAGAAATGATGCGTGGGGGACTTTTGTGGGCAATCGCGTGAAGGAAATTTGCACTTTCACTAAAGCAAATCAGTGGTCATATGTACCAGGGTCATTCTAACCCAGCTGATTTACCTTCTCGTGGTTGTTCCCCTCTTCAGTTTTCGAATTAAATTGGTGGAGAGGGCCTGTTTGGCTCAAAGATGCCCTAGAGATAGCTGGCCAAAATTAGAGGTTAAGCCAAATGAAACTTTAGTTTTTTTTTTTTTTCAGAGCGCAGGAAAGGCATAAATTTAAATGTAAATCTTAGTATAACTACAAAAGCGGATAAAGTTAAGTGGTGTGAGAAGTTCTCTAAATTTTCAAAAATGTTAAGAGTTTTAGGTTGGATAAAGAGATTTATCAAAAATTGTCAAAAGAAAATTGTAAATAAAGAGCCTTTCCTGTCTGCTTCCGAGATACAAGGAATCTAAAATCATATACTTCTTTCACTTGTTCAGGGGAGAGTTTTCCAGAGACTGGAGACTCCATCAATGGTCTTTTGACCGTACGAGATCAGAGTGGCTTAAGAAGAGTAAAGTAAAAACGAAAATCACCGAACGAGATGATTCTTATGCATTCCGGTACCCGATTTTATTACCTTCTAAGCATTATATTGTTGACTGTTTAATTAGAGCATTACCATTTAAAGCATTCTCATGCTGGCGTACAAGCATTAACTGTTATAATTAAAGAAGAATTCTGGATCATTGGTACAAGACGCAGAATTAGATCAGTGGTGAAACAGTGCATCCGTTGTAAACAATTTTCAGCAAAACCTCCAACTACTGCACCCATTCAATTACCATTAGACAGAGTTCGAGATGCTTTCGCATTTGAAGTTACCGGCATAGATTTATGTGGCCCTCTGATTCTCAAAAATAAAAACAAAGCCTGGGTAGTACTGTTTACATGTGCTGCTGTATATAGATGTGTACATTTGGAACTAGTGACATCCGTAAGTACCGAATGCTTCATTCAAGCGTTTCGTCGGTTCATAGCCAGAAGAGGTCGGCCATCTACAGTTTACTCAGACAACGGCACAAATTTTCGTCGGTACATCTGCATTGCTGAAAAAAGGTTGACTGGGTAAAGGTAATTGCTCAGGAAACTTTGCATCCCATCACTTGGAAGTTCATTCCGCCCACTGCTGCTTGGATGGGTGCGGATGCGTCTGGGAATCCGCACAACCAAGAATTTGATTGTGAGAGTCTTAGGACAAGCTGCAGTCAATTACGAAGAGTTACTCACCGTCATCTGTGATGTGGAAGCCGTAATAAACTGTCGACCACTTAACTTATGTGTCAAATGACTCTGAGGATCTTCTACCATTAACGCCTTCCATGTTCTTACAGGACATTAAGGTTTCAGGTACAGCAGATTTGGATACTTTAGATCGAAATAAACTCTTGGCTCGTCAGCGTTTCTGCCAGGAACTTCGAGAACAATTTCGTAGCCGTTTCCGCAAGGAGTACCTTGGACAGTTAGTACAAAAGCATGGACAGAACGGACTGTGAATTAAAAGTTGGAGACATCGTGCTAATAGGTTGTGAGAACCTTAAAAGAGTGAACTGGCCAATTGCTCGTGTCCAAGAACTTTGTACAAGCAGAGATGGACGTGTAAGAGTTGTAAAAGTGAAAACTATAAATGGCATACTGATTCGTCCTGTACGTAAATTGTACCCTCTAGAAGTGTGTTCCTGTACTAAGGATACCATTATTTGATTTTTGATTTTGCTTCAGAAAATCAAAAAGGTAGGAGTGTTGTGAAATACATCATTCAAACATTAAACACAAAACTCTTCATTTGATGTGGAAGACACAGATGGCGTTGGCTGTCATTAAATTATGAAGAGAAAAAGGGTTTTTCCCTTTCGACCTCGTGACGTGAACTGATTAAGATGTGTAATAACTTTCGGGACCAGAAAAATTTCCCGACAATTGTTAAAAAATGTATATACGAGTATTTTGTAGTGTAGAGAGAATATAATTAGATAAATCAACTTCTTAAAGTTTTTATTCAGATTCAACATCACACTACCCAGGTAAGTGAGCAAGTTTTGTCTTTAGTTTTTTCTGGATTGCTCGGTATCTGGGATGAGTGAAGGATGTATTTTTATTTTAATGATATTTAATGATAAGACTATGTTTTAGTAATAACATATGTAACTTTTGCTATGTATATTTGGCCACCAGCGGCTGAGATGTAAAGTCTGAACACTGGTAGTTCGGTCGGGGGTCAGAATCAAGCGAATCAGCTGGCTGCATGGGTGTGTCCGTCGTTTCGCTCATGCGTAACTTGCATATGAGCCAAGTACTCTTCAAAAGACCTCAGCGAAGACATCTTCCCTCTTAGGCAGGTAGCTCTCTTATGCTTTGCCATGAGTAAAGAAACTAAACCATTTTGTTATGTATATTTCTTTTAGAACAAAAATGGTGCATACAGAATTTTTTACTATAAAATGGATTTTACATTTTATCTCGAAAACTACTTATTGCTATGTTTATTTAAAAAAACTAAAATTTGTTACAGAAACTTAAAAGAAAGATGGGTAAGGGCGGCAATTTTAAGTTTTTGCCCCGCCTAAGAAAAATGCTAAATTCGGCGCTGGCCTAAATTTGGAATTTGAAATTTGCTTTATTATCGATTTCATATTGCGTAACACTTTAACGAATTTTTGATTAATAAACTCAAGGATTTCAAAGCGATGGCAACACTGTATGGAAAAAAAAAATGTTATCACCGGCGCTCGAGACTGGGTATCGGAAATTCTAAAGATATGCTCAAGTTAAAATTATTTTTGCGATATTGCTATTGAATTGAATTTTATGGTTTAAGTGAAAGGTCCCTTGGGGCGAAATATAAAATCTGAAAATTTTTAGATTTTTAAATTCTTTTTAGCTATTTTTTTAATATTCCTTTTTCCTGTTGTTAAGTTTGCAACTTTTAATTCGTTTAATTATATTAATATCTCTTAATTACATATATTCATCATATCCCTGGAAAAAATTATTTCTTCCCAAAGACGTTTCTGGTCAGTTCCTACGAAATGCATTTGTAAGGAAAAGTTTAAACATTAATCTCATCTAAACTCAAGTTCTGTGTTTTAAGGTCCATCTGTGACTATTCAGTATTCATACTATAAACAAATACAAATTTCACACATTTTTGCTAACTCCCCGCTTATATTAAAACATGCCTGAGTTTGCATAAGAAAGTGAGGTTGCAATATAACTAAGCAATTTCTGTACATTTAATGCTGATTTAGACTTCGAAAGACTAAAGTATATGTAACTGCTAAATCGTAATGAATTACCAGAATAAGCATTACAACTGAAATTAAACTTATCTTGAATGAAATAAATATGAACAACAATGAGTTTTCTTCCTCCTCTCCTAAGACTATTAGAAAATAAATTTGGAAAATGCTTGGTTCATAAGCCAAAGTTATAATTTGAGTAGTTTCTTGCATGATTCATTGAGCATGAAATAATTTATTTCTTATTGAAGTATTAAAATTGTAAATTATATTTAATGCTTGCAAAATACCCAACTATTCCTTTCCTTTTTTATATTTGTGATAAAAATAATACTTACATCATTAAACGATATAATTTATCCGTTTTTCGAGAAACATTATATTGTTATTTGAAAACTACATTTTTATTCGATGTGGGGTAGGGTCTTGGACCCCAGGCACCCTGGTGCTACACCAAAATTTTCTCTCCGTACGTAATATTATTTTAGCTGAGGTATTTCGTTAATAATAGCCCAACAGCGCTACCTCTAGGTAATTACAAAAAGCCGTTGGACTTAACGGAATTATGGGATGCCAGAAGATTTGCCAGAAGACATAATTATCAACCAATCATATATTACTTCGGACAAATCTTAGCGAATGGGATTTCAGTTCCAACTAGCGCTGCAGTTCGTTTTCGCATTTGTGCTGTTGATGCGGCTTTAAAACTTGCGCCTTCAAACTGAGTTTGCCCTTTGGAGAGCGTATAACTTTCTCTCGATCGTGTGATTTTCGGCAGTTAAGTTTTAATTTGGAACTAAAATAAAAATCGATGTAAGTATATTATTTTCGCTGTGTATAATTTTTTGTTACTTGCTTTAATTTTAGATAAAATTAATATGAAACGCATTTTTATATTGCCAAATACTGTGTGAGTTCAATCATGCAGTTTTATGTATATAGTTTAAAAAAAAAACTTTAATATTTAATCTAATGCTATTCTGCAAAGTTAAAAAAGATTTATTGTTGTCCTTTACGATGAATGACATGCGATTGCAAAATTTTGCTATTTTAGTTTGCCTACCTCTTACCGCTGTTTTGCAAACTTTAGATTTATCATTGCCATTTGTTATGAATGATTGTGATTGTTAAGTTTTACTATGTTAGCGTGCATACTTCTGATAGATACTCAGTAATATTAATCACTTCATAAAATGTCTTAATAGTGTCATTATATATGTTAGAAGAGGATCTATTCATCGTTAGACGTTGAGGACTTGTGCCATATTCCTTGGAATTTGGTTGCTTAATCGCTTTTCGTTAAGATTTTCATTAAGTATAATCTAGTGCATGGTTTCGCTTGTACATGTTGGCATGTTAAAGGTAATGGCATGCTGCAGCCTAAGTAATATTAAGAAAATAAACAGAAAAACTGATTTAAAGAGCTCGAAACAGCTTGACATTAAGTCTAAGCACTGTTCATAAATGTAATTATTAGGGAATAAAAGCGATAAAATGTTTAAAGTAGCACAGATTATAACAGCAAGTTATTTGCATGAAAATTTAAAATGTTCTTTTAAATGGTGTGAATGTGAATTCTGTTAAGTATGGGATAGCTGTTTCTTTTTTCATTCTAAATAAGTTACAGGACTACCTGTAATAAAAGTACTTTAGACACCCATTGCTTAGTTTTGTAATTTGACTCTTGTTTCTGACTGATGTTTGTGAAGTCTGAATAATTAGCTGTCAAGGTTTCATCCCTCCTTAATATAATTTGATTAAAAATTAATATTGTACCTTAATCTGGTTACGTATCACTTGTGGGATGTTTTATATTAACAAAAGCGTGGATAATTTTTAACAAGAGGCTGTAAGCAGTACAAGAAAAGGTAAAATCCTAGTATACGGTGCAGTGTTGGCGCGATTTTGAAAATTATCGCGAACACCAAAAATTACCAAAAGAATGTCTATGTATATATAGTGATAGTATACTATACACTATATTCTATCACTATATACATAGTATATACATATATACTATGTATATATATAACTATATATATTCTTTGAATAGTCATAGTATATATACATATAACTATATATATTCTTTGAATACCCGTTTACTACTCATCGTATATGTCCCGTTTTTACTGCTCATCATAAAAGTAGCCAAATCCCGTGTGCACCGGATACTAGGATTAAACCCAAGAAAAAGACAGATATTGAAAATTTTGTAACTTCAGATATGGGAGAATTAATGTAAAGTGTTGGTGCAGTTAAAACTGTTAAATGGTGTCCTGATAAAACATAGATCACAGTTAACCTTTCAATATGGATGCAACCAAGTTTCAAGAAACGTAAAAGCGAAGAATATGAATGCCTTATACTCATCAAAGGTTGGAAGAATTTTTTTAAAAATGTTACTCATAAAGTTACTTCCTGTCTTTTGAGGGCAATATTAAAATAAGTTTGAATGTAAACTTCCTGCGTCTGAGCAAATGACATTGCTCACATATTGTTTCATTTAATAGATGCATAAAATTTTAAACAGTAAAATGATTTGGTGATTGCATACGAAACACGTAAACATAAAATGTACATTTAACACCTTAGAACAGTTTCTTTTGATATTTATTAATTTTAATAATTCTATGTACATGTCACTATGGTGAATGAAAATTTCAGTTTTATGTATAAAATTGCCATTATATGATTAGAAGTATCAAGAGGTTATCTTGTTCAAAGAACCCAGTGGGTGCTTCCATAGAGAATCTATTGGTGACAGATCCTTTTTTGTTGCAAAGTTCGAAAACATTAATGGTTTTATGATAACTTAAGTTTTTAAATAAGACGTGATGTAAAACAAGTTAAATGTAGCTAAAAATTATCTGATTAAACACATGAAAGTCAAATTTTAATGTTGTGCAAGTCAAAGTTAGTACAATTAAAATTCAGTTATTAAAGCATGATATTAAGCATATGCAATCAAAAATTAGCTAGTTAAACATGCTATTTAATACAATTAAATTCTGGTTGGTAGAAAAGCATAATGTTAAGCATACATAAGTAAAGATTAGCATAATAAATAGTGTTGGCATTGTTTAAATATATTTCTAATAAATTCTACTATTAATATATATTAATGGTTTTATGATAACTTAAGTTTTTAAATAAGACATGATGTAAAACAAGTTAAATGTAGCTAAAAATTATCTGATTAAAAACACATGAAAGTCAAATTTTAATGTTGTGCAAGTCAAAAGTTAGTACAATTAAAATTCAGTTATTAAAGCATGATATTAAGCATATGCAATCAAAAATTAGCTAGTTAAACATGCTATTTAATACAATTAAATTCTGGTGGTGGTAGAAAAGCATAATGTTAAACATACATAAGTAAAGATTAGCATAATAAATAGTGTTGGCATTGTTTAAATATATTTCTAATAAATTCTACTATTAATATATAGTATAGTTATATCTAGTGATACTTTTTTCAGATTTTTATGGTCCCGAAAAGGCTGCCCCCCTCCAAAAAAACTCCCTGCATCATTGCGGGAAACCTCGCTCTGGAATGGGTATTTAGAGCACGTTGTCAGCTAAATTTTACTTCTAGACTTTTTTTTTTTTTTTTCTTTCAATTTTGCTTTAAGAAGCCACCTATTTGATTGCATATATGCACCTGATTAACAATTATTAACAGTTTCGGTGCATAATACCACCCATGCCTTTCCTGAGAGTGAATATATCCACCATGTACAGAAGAAAATTTTTTCTGGGCACACCGTGCTGCAAATTGTTAATCCATTGTATCAGAATCTCTACTGATCTGTTGGCTGCTGTGAACATGTTCTCTATGAAGGCAGTAATCTTCCCGAGATGCAGACAGGAATTTGTCTGGCTATTTACTTAATTAGATGAAAATAATTCCATCTCTTCATTGTTAAAAATTTCAGGAAGTCTAGCATAGAATCACTTGAGCTGTTGGATTCTGCAATGAATGTTAGAGTATGGTGAAGTGGCTAGGTTTTAACATTTTGGAAAATCTGTTAATTTTTTTAATAATTGCATTACTTATCTCCTTCAGGACGAGTGTTTTGTGTATACATCAGCAGGTAATCCTCTAAAGGGCCTTTCACACTGGGTTTTATCTGGAATAACAGAGACAACTGACATAGCCGACCCATCTACACAGTTTTTCCCCATAGTGGAGCAAGTTGAAAAATCTGAAGTGCAGGCATAGCTGAGCTAGTTCAACACATGGAACCGACTCCATTAGCTCAGATAAACCTCTGTGTGAATGGCCGTGTATGAAACAGCATCCACCAGTGCATCACCTGTCTGCTAGTACATTTGGGATAGTTCAGCAACATGCCATCATGGAGGGATTAAGATTGTCATGTAGAAAGTCTTTAAGAGGTAGGTAGGGGAGAAAGGGGTCTTGTCGTATAGATATTGGACTCTACTGTAGAATTGGGTGCCCCTTTGATTAGCGACAAATTTTTTAAAATTTTGGCAATGAAACTTCATTTCTTGGTTGATAGTTTTAATTTTGCTTTGAAAATAGATTGATGTGTACATGGACAAATCTAAGGCAGTGTGCAATGCCTAGTTTGTGCAATTCTGGGATATTTTTTAAAGTGGAGAAAGATCAGTTTGTGCAAATCTTTGACTTCTTATTTTGGTTTCGTGTAGCGTCCATCTTGAAATTGTGCCCTTCCTGGCGCCGATCTTGGCATCAAAAAAGGAATCTAATAAACAAGGGGCACCCAATTGTAAACTTTTACCGGATATTGTTATCAGTATCTTCTGTATTCTCGTATTTTAAAGCTTTGCATTTAATGTATCCATAGCTTCCTGGAATATATTAGAGGTTTCTGGGTTTTTAACCTCTTACCTGCCATGGAAAACTTAAGATTCATTTCCCAGTGCCACGGTTTTGCACACAGGTGTGCGTAGTTATGCAATGTATTAGAGGGAAAATAAGTGCAAGTTTTACTTTCTAAAAATTGTTTACTTTTACAAAATTGTTAGTTTGGTACATTTCTATTTACCGTATTGGCAACACCAAATTCTCTCTTCTCTGTGTGTGAGCTATGGATGCCGATGTAATGTTGTGCACGTGTTGTTAAGTTTCAATAAAAAATGTGAAAAGATACGTTTCTTATTTTTCGATTTGCTTCTTCATATGATATCGATTTATTTAACATGGTAGCAGTTCTCGTGGTTTGTGAATATGAATGAAGAATTTAGTAGTTATAATTTGTTTTAAAAGTTACCGGTACTAGCGTAAAAATGGCATGTACAAGAAGCAGCGATATCGGCATACCGCTATTTGATGGTTCGGACTATTTTAATTGGAAAGTGCGTATGATGAAATTTCTTCAATTTAAAAAGTGTAAAGATGTGGTTCAGCGAAAAGTCAGTGAAAATGATGACGTGGAAAAATGGGAAGAAAAGGATATACAAGCTACAAATTACATTTACGGCGCCATAACAAACAAGCAATTGGAATATATTCACGAGTGTGAGACTGCATTTGATATAATTACGAAATTTGATGCAATGTATTTAAAAACTTCAACATCTCTACAAATTGTTTGTCGAAATAACTTAGAATGTGTGAAACTGAAAAATTATCCTGATGTAAATATATTTTTCGATGATTTTGAGAAGTATGTGAACGAACTGAAACATGCCGGCGCCACCGTGACGGAACAAGAAAAATTGAACTATATGCTAAGAGCATTACCTTCAAATTACAGTCACATTGGTGACTTAGTAGATGTATTACCAGAGAAGGACAGAACAGTCGATTACCTAAAGAGCAAAAT